CACAACACTTGATGTGACGTCACAAAAACACGAAACACAGAGTGTTCAATTTTTAGAATACTAAAAGTTATTCTAAAAAAGGGCCACAACACATTGTCACGTGATCCTTATACAGCTGTTATATAGCTGGATATTGCTCCAAACAGCCGTAACAACTGTAGCAGTACCCTGATGTTCAGGGTACTGTACCCTGATGAGCAGTTAAATAAAGCTTCAATTAAGGATCCCGTAATGGTTATTCCCTGATAATATCAGAAGGAGTTTCATTCTGCGTGAGACGAACAAGAATATTAAGGTTAATGTATTGTGTTTAGTTTCGTTTCAGTACAAGACGCACCTCAACCACCCTCTACCCCCTCTACCACCCACACTTAATATAGTTGTCGAGTTTACTACTACTACTATAATATATTATATATAGTACTACTACACTCGATGAAGGAGCACTAACGTCAATTAACACTGAAGTCTGGAGTTGAGGGTGATAACAACTTTCAGCCTAATGTTTAGAGGTCGTCATGTCACCTGATCATCTGTAATGTGTAATGTCACGTGACCAGTGCAACAAGACTGTGTCTCGTGACTCATACTGCTCAGTCTCGAACTAATGATCATTAAATAAAGTGAGGGACAAACGAACTGAAATAAAGTGCAACTCAGAGTTTCATGATGTCATATTATGATTATATCACGTTAAACTCATGACCATCGTGATACTTTATACCACGTGACACTCCTTATATGGAGTGTCTATCACGTGACACTAAACCCCGTACAAAGTGAACAGGCGGAACAGCTGATACTAACGCAAAGTGTGTGAGAGTTAAGAGTCAGTGTTAGCCGAGCAGATGTTTTACTTTTATTCCAGGTTTTGCGGACTAACCAACACCTGTGAGACCCACTGGGACGAGTTGATTAGAAAACTACCACGTCTCAGTTAGAGCGGCTCGCTGTGTGTCAGGGGGGGGGGGGGTATGTGTAACGTGATATTCTCACTATTACTTCACAATTAATTGTTCTAGAAAACACCAGGCTCTTGTGGACAGTTCTGGGGTATTTTGATCAATTCTCGCTAAAAACAACCATATATATAATTATGTTGATTATGTATACTCGCACCGCACATCTCGACATGCTCATTCATCAAACGAAACGTTCAAAATAGAAATATGAACTTTTTAACGCAACAAAATATTTTTCAGGTCCGATATAATTCCAAAATTGCTTAGTATTGTGGGTATGTTCTAGCAACAACTTGAAAAATTAATGACAGAAGCATTGGGTAGGTTGGGATTGATAGTCTATAATAATACAATTTGAAGCATTTGATATACGCTTATAATAATTATTGGTGGACAATTTAACTATCTTTAACTATCTTCTGCACTGGATCCCAAAGCATGGTAAAAGGTCAAGAGGTAGACCTCGGAAAAACTGGTTGTCATGTGTCCGGGAGGATGCAGCAATCTTCACAGGTGTCGATAACATCACGATAGAAGATGCAGAACAACAAGGGTACATTGGAGAGGTCTAATATACCGGAGAAAGGAGTTACTATGTGGTGCAGGCCACTCCAACGAATAGGAGGAGGCCTTTTTAAGTACAAGTAAGTAAGGACAATTAATTAATTTTTAACTAACCGCCAACTTTTACAATATAATAGTACTGTAGTCATGTTGATATTTTTAATGTTGACGTGGCCAGTAATTTTCACCTACTGTAAAACGTGTATCTTATGGTTTTATTACATCATATTATTATAACTATACACTATAACTAAGCCACACAAAGGCTGAAAGAACTAGATACTTTTACAAGGGAGAAACAATGGTAGCAAGATCTATTAACAATTATAAAGATGTTTAATACATATTGTACATGTTAATTAACCAATGTTAACCAGGTAAGTTACAAACGGTAACCCGTGTAAACACTAAACAGGTATAAGGGAACTTATGAAAACAAAGCCACAAACGCAACCACAAACAACCTTACAATTATACAGCTTTACAACACGGTTATATTGTGTAGACTTAACGGGGCTCAATGTAAAGAGTTTGGAGCACAAAAGTATTTATACTTTATCTGTATAGATAAAGTAAAGATCTGTAGTGCCAAGTTGTAGTGTCTCACTTGTTAAGATATTTAAAGGCATATTAGACCGGGTAATGGGTATCCATCATCTAGTAGGTACTGCATCAACACCAACACATCATACAGTTGGTGAAATTTTTATAAAGATTTTTTTATATGATCATCACATCATTATATGTGTCTCAATAGACAATAACAGTATACAACTTAAAGCGAAAGAGGTGTGTTAAAATATGCCCTTATAGGTTAATAATACAAATATGAATAACAATCAATAATGATAAAAACGTGTACCATATTGAACTATAAAACTGGACAGAACCTCAATGTCAGTTAAACAAGTCTGAAAAGATGAGCTAATTGTTAATTGTTTGAAGGGAGATGAGACCAGGCTGACAGGGCGCTGACATGTTCATATCACTCAAGCCATTATAACGTAACTTAATACAACCCCACAACTAAAGAGATAATCTAGAAATAAAGACTTAAAGCGTTTACTTTGTTGGAGAGTTACTGAAGTGGAAAATAGTGTCATGATACATGGGACAGTTTACAATATTAAGTAATAATACTACATAGTTACATTACTGCAATATATACTTTCAACTGTTACACAATGTTTGGCAGGAGGAGTGTGTAAGCATACTCAAACTACAGAAAACACAGGCAAAATAAGCAACATTTGTGTAACAAACACTCTGAATAACTCTAACAAAAAGATCAGATCTAATGGTTATAATATCTTGTCCCCCATAGCACTGATCGTGTGGGCAGGGCAATAACAGAATACTACAAATAGAGCAAGCAAAGCAAGAAAAATAACGAAAAATCTTGGGAGGGGCTATAAAGATAGAAGCAAAGGCGACAAATAAAATATATATAATACGTAACAAATCGTAATGTTATGAAACTATGAAGCAACTTACTGGATGCAATCACTTAGATTCAACAGTAAAGTACAGTAAGCGCAAGAAGGGGGAATTAATTGAGGTGTAATATAAAGTTAGCAATTAACAAAGTGTTTCCACTGAATGTAAAGATTGGGTATGTCAGGGCACTGAGTTAAGAAAATAATTAATTTTCGAATTATAGATTAAGGTCACCAGATGCTGAATATTATGAGGATTTTGTTGTCTCTTGACTGTACTATGAATATTGCTATAATCAATTTTGAAGAAGAATGAGAAAGAGAGACTCCTGACTGAAGAAGCTTTCGACACTGCCAAGAACGGAGAAGTTGACTGGTTAAAACAAACTGCCACAGTGAGTCGTCTAACATATATTATATATAATGTAACTAATAAACTACAGTATATTGTAATTGTGTCTAATAAACTAACAATATACCTCTGCAGATATAGCAGAACTAAGGACTATCTCGGGCACATCACTAAACCACCAGGTACTACCTGTAAACTAGTTATTTAAACCACTGTAGGGGGGGGGGGGGTGACACTGTATCTATTTCAGCTAGACTATATTAACCTTCCGATATAGGACACCACGTGGTTATAAACATGATGACGTCACACACCACGTGACATGATGACGTCACACACAACGTGACATGATGATTCCACTAGTCTCACTAAACACTGAAAGTTGCACTAAACACAGTAGACCAACAAAACGTAAGCAGGTAATAAAGTCCCGTACTTAATGTAATACCTCTGACCTATAGCTTCAGTGTATATTGCTTTGGGAAGGGAACCTTATATGGCATAAACTACTTGCCTTGCTTTTATATAGCCATTCAGAGATTGTAGTGTTCACGCTTGATATTGGGAGTTCAGAGAACGAATGACAAAGTGTGACAATAATTATAGACTTAAAGAAAACGTTTTTAATGTTATGTTATTTTAGCCGGAAAGTTCATTTCGAAGCAAAAATTCTGGTTAAAACTAACTGAATGAAATGTCCGCCACTAGTTTGATAATTTATTGTACGCTGTGGAGACTTCTTTGTGGTGTGAATTAGAGTTTCATTGACATGATGTTGTTGAGAGTTTTTGTTCACACACGATCTCTTAACTGCGTTTAATAATGGATACGACACATGCTAGATCGAAGTGATATATAGTGATGTAAGCTCTGATAAATCACAAATCCTTCATGAACTGACCAAACACAGGTTAGAGACTGAAGAAAAATGAGCACGATATGTATGTATATAATATAATATATAGGTTCAAGGTATAGAGATTAGACTCCATTAGAGAGATACGGTATGTAGAGGTTTTACTGTAGTTGTAGTGAATGCCCTTCAGCTAATATATAAGTAAGTTCTTGAATCATGAGCCCGTAAAGCACTTTAGGTGTTAAATTAAAATTAATGAGTTTAGTAGTTAATTTTCAGTAGCTAGTTTAGTGGTTAACGTCATGTTATAGCTGCGTCATGTGATTGATGATGGTGGAGTCTAGAGTGTTCGATTTTACCCAAACAGCTGGAAACGGAATGCTGGAAATTTCATAACTCTTACAATTTTAAAGCTCTTTACTCTTTTGAGGCTCGAAAAAATAATGTGAGGTAGAATATCATGAGGTTAAGAGTGTTTAATTGAGTGGTTCTTACAGCTTGATGATCCAGTGAATCAATATAAGAATTTTTAAATATGATCGAAAACGATGTTTGACTTTTAGTGATGGTGTCGTTTGCGCACTGAATGTGTGTTAATTAATAACGTCTTCCCGCCAGAATATTAATCATTGCAGTGAAATGTAAGAGAAAACAATCAACTGTGCAAATTTCGAATAAAAAAGTAATAATTTTAAGTATTTTCTAATTCTGGTGTTACTTAGTGTAGGCATTTGTGTCAATGTCTTCATAGTGAAGCTATGCTATTTAAAGTACAGGTGTTGTATTGTGCAGTATTAATCAAATTAACGAAGATAAAAAGAACTACTTACATCTTCTTCCATGTCCACCATGTCTCGTCTTATTTCATGCTGCAAAGATTAGGTATAAGTATTTATCTTGAACAGAATATCGAAAATTTCAAATTTTAGGGTACCTAAAGTGGACCAGGTACACTATGTATTATCCAAACAGTCATATATGGTTAAATTGTAACCAGCCATTTAATAGAGGAGCTGTATCAGGACCTAGTCTAACAAAAGGGAACAAACATTTCCTAGTGTCTACATTTCACCAATTGAGAATATCACCGATTAAAATTTAAACAAAAATAATATTCTAAATTGCAACTGGTAGAATAGTCAGTAACCATACATGGTAGATCTCACTATAATTTATCTGGGCTCTAAAAAATAATATGCAGCTTAATGAAGCTAAATTTGAGATCCTCAACTGCACACACAATAATTGGCTTCTCCTATGAAATCTGCCATTCACAAATGAACTGCTACAGTCTTACAACAAGTGAAGTAATTGAGCCAGTAGAAACTGTCAGGGATGTGATTCTATCACAAGACTGCTCTTGGATGCCTCACATCCAGCGATTTAATCACCAAGGACTATGTCACTGAGGGTCCTCTGCGTTTTCAGAGACTGATCACCATTTCTAATGCCGACTCTTCAAAATCAGGGTGCAGAGTGAGTGAATATCACTGTTTGGTCCAAAATCCAGAATATATCACGGACATAGAGGCTATAATAGATAACACTTAACATATACACAACATGCGTTGGGTATATTGTCGTTATATTTAATATATAACGACAATTATATACCCAATGCATTAACAGGGTCAAGAATACCTGGGCCCCTTTGGCAAACTTTCTGAACTCAGGCAGCTTGAACGACTAAATTTGAAAAAATAAAACTTCTTGTCTGAATGAACTATTAGAACCTCAAGAAGCTGATCCGCATGTCTCCGCTACTAAAATGTTTAATGAGCCCAATCACTCATCACTTAACAGTTTAATCTTCAAAGTGAGTTGTACAATCTAGGTTGTTTTAAGTAGCTGTTGATAGTGTAAAACAGGAGTGACTTGATCGTTCTCATAACTTCGATTTACAATTTGTACCATAATAAAACTAGCACTGCCATGGGGTTCAAAAAGGGTCATTGTAAGCCTCCAGCGTAATGGTCCTAAGTCTCTGCCCCATGCAGTGCCTGTCAGCATCAGCTAACAGAATAGCCCTAACATAACGATCAAGCCACAAATTAGGTTCTATAATGATTTAATATTGTTGAATAAAGAGATTTGAATATAATATTTGTTTTATTCTGAATATTTGTTTTATTCTGAACAGCTATAATGGGAATGTCCCCTCCACTGGTTTTTTTCCTACAAACGGTTTTCAGTGCAAGTTGATCACACTTATGATTAGCGGCACAGACCCAGGTGCCTGCAGGCTGCACAGCTTTCTTGAGCCACTTTGGACCACAGCTGGTCCAGGAATATCATTGCAGGTTCATTCCTAACTTAACAATATGTTATAAATCGTTATCATCATTGGGTCACTAAGAGAGAGGGGAGAGGTGTGCTACACAAGATACTTAAGAATTAAAACCATCAAAAATGTTATCGAAATGAGTGTTTAAATGAAAATGCTAACTCATATAGTCATTATATTTAATGACATTAACTCTTAACGAGATAATGTCATATCACGCCTTATGTGAAAAAAAATATATATTACATATTTCCCCACTAGGACATTAATTATTTATCAAATACAATATTTTAAACAATTTATCAAAACATTATCCTATTTTAAAAACCTAATCAAACTTCCCAGTGGAATAAAGATTTATGAAACGCTTCTTTGCCACATAAGGATGAAACCAAAGATAATCGTTATGTTTCTCTCTATTACTGACATAACTGGCTCCCTCAATTCTTACTAAAACTTCATTAGAAACATTCCAAAAAAAGCAATCATTTGTAATACTTTTAGAAATCATATCTTTCTTAAATCCTTCTAATTTAATTTTAAAGCCTAAAACTGTCACAGAGTTCTTGACGTCCGGAGGGAGTTTGTTCCAATATGGAATAACTCGCTTCAGTATAAAAGACTTCTGGATATTCTTAATTTTAGTTAAACTTCTTTACATATGTTGCTTGAAACAAGATTAAGACCAGATCTCCCCGATCCATAATCAGTCAAACCACTTATTACTTTAAAAGCTTCTATGAGGTCCCCACGTATTCGCTGCTCTGCCAGCGTTGTCAAATTGAGGATTTTCAGTCTACTACTACCAGCATACTGTATTTGCTGGTTTGAGGATTCCGTCGTCAAAATTTGAAAATTCGAATATTTTATACCACGCCCATTCAATATTAGAACACATATATTGTTTTCTCTGAACATGCTGACACCTAATTTTTTTCAGAAACGGTAGATTATTAAATTTTGCATATGATCTGAAAAAATGAGGCAAAACGGATTAGAAATGAAGAAGTTATCAAGCATTTTCTATATCTCGTTAACAAAATTGACTGGATGACTATGTGACACCTTGACACGACACCTTAATTGGGCACCCTTAACAATTCCCATAATGTTCAACGGGGTGGTTAACGGGGTCACCTAATCACGTGATTAGGTAAACCAATCACCTGATCACACGTAATGAATAAAATCGTTATGCTTCATATCTCTGTCATCTGAGAAGCTACAGTTCTAATTTGTTCAGGACAAACGTAATTCGAATGGCCAAACACTATTCAATAAAATTTAGCTCGATTTGACTATCCAAACTATCAAATAAATGCAAAAATTAACCTTCATTTGAAAAAAATGAACTCGAATATTTTTCGATTAGACAAATTCCTCGAACCAGTGGTGGTAGTAAGTCATACCAGAAAGAAATATTTCAATTGGGCACTCAGTGACTGAGTTATTAAGGCCAACGTATACCCACTGACTTTTGGCACACCCTGTACATTTATGTAATGTATACTTAGTTCCATAACGAATGTTTTCAAGAACTTGTACAACTTTGTGCAGCTTTACATTGTACATGCATTCCATAAAATTAAAACATATGATGGGTCAGGCAGCGATCGAAAAGAACAACTGCAAATTTAATCATTCATTTAGTATGGCTCAAACTGATTCGCTCGCCCAAAAATGTTACATTTTTTTTTATTTGAAAATTCAATTAATCATTATATATATAAATCAAGCGTTACATTTCAGCCATGCAAAATTACAATGACATATTTTGGTTACTAAATGATAAATGGTACTGCAATATAAGTTGCTTAATGTTTGGCCGGATGACAACTAACGAGAAAAATAAACTTGATTATATAATAATTAATTCGGCTGAACCAACACATAGCAAGAGCCACATTAACGTTGGGGCCGTCTACCAAATTTGAATGACAAACATTAACAAGAAATCAAACATATCATGAATAATTATAAGGATTTTGTTCATTACAATTCCGTCACAACTGATAAAAAAAAAGAAAAAGAAAAGGACAAGCAGATAGGAAATTGGACGGACAGAATTGTAACCAACAAAAACAAATTTCTGAGACTGATGAGCTAATCTGGCCAGACTGTATCGGCAGCCCAGAGGTACTTGATCAGTTTGGCCTTAAAAGTAGAAATACGCTCTGACTGCCGGATACATACTGGTAGACTATTCCATTTCATCATAGATCTATGAAAAAAGCTATTTCGGAAGGCATCCGAGCAGGGCACAGTGGTACTCATGTAAGTTGAAGTATCCGACATATCAATTATTTGAGCATTGTGCCTAGTGTATCGGGTGCCCTCTGGACGGCATAGGACTATATATGTAGGGAGCGAAACTGGAATTATGCTTTTCACTATTTTATAGAAGGTCATAAGATCGTTATAAATAAACTTCTGTTTAACAGGGAGAATATTTAGTTTCTTTTGCTCTGTAGCAAGTTTATCGTCATTATAACTGGAGTAAGGTTCACCATTGATCCATTTAATAGCCCTCTTTTGGATAGCAACAAACTGTTGAAGATGAGTTGCAGATTGAGGGGACCATATGACAGAACAATGTTCAAATATAGACCTAATTAACGCTAAATAGAACGATCTTTTCTGCCTTTTATCAGTAGTGAAATGACATGTTCTCTTAAGTAGTCCAAGTCTAGATGTAGCTTTGGAAACAAGCGCTTTACATTGTGCACCCCAATTAAACCTGGAGTTTATTGCGACTCCTAAATCTGACTGAGAGGGCACAAAGTCAATATCACTTCCAGAAAGTTTATAAAAGAAGGTATTGAATGGCAAGTTATCCAGCACGTTTCTTTGCAGGGACACAGAGAGGGCTTTGCACTTTTGTGGGTGGAACTTCATTCGATTTCTCACTGACCAATCATATAATCTATTGATGTCATTTTGGATTATGTGATGGTCAGGGTAACCAAGAATCTCCCTCCAAATTTTAGTGTCATCTGCATAAAGGGCGATATTGGTGCCTTCAGAGACACAGGAGAACATGTCATTTATAAATATTACAAACAATAAAGGGCCAAGTATAGAACCTTGAGGGACACCAGACCGAACTGGTAGAGAAGAAGACGTTTGGCCTCCTATCACTACTTGTTGTTGTCGCCCCTCAAGATAGGACTTAATAAATTTAAGCATTAGTCCATCGACATTAAAAATATTCTTTAATTTACTTAAAATGAGGTCATGCGAAACGCTATCAAAGGCTTTCGCAAAATCAAAATATATTATATCAGTCCTGGACCTGTTATTCAATGCAAGTGCAAGATTGTCCGTGAAAGGTATCATTTGGGTTGTGCATGAACGTTCATTAACAAAACCGTGTTGTCGGTCATCCAACAGATCAGAACACGCAGCGTATAATGCAGTCTTTATGCACCTTTCAAAGACTTTCATTACAAGAGATGTTAACGAGATAGGCCTGTAGTTCTCAACCGAAGACTTATCGCCCTTTTTGTGCACTGGTACTACAAGTGCCAGCTTCCAATCAGGGGGTATGCATCCGCTCGAGAAAGACAGGTTAAATAAAACACTAAGTGGGT